AATGAGAGAGAGCACATGAGAGGGGGGAGGGTCAGAGGGAGAAGCAGGCTCCCCGCCGAGCAGGGAGCCTGATGCGGGACTCGATTCCGGGACTCCAGGATCATGACCTGAGCCGAAGGCAGTTGCCTAACCAACTGAGCCACCCAGGCGCCCGAATACTCCTGGATTCTATCACTGAGCCCGATCCAAACCTGTAGGGTGAGAACTTGCTGAATCTTTGCAACAATACCGCAAGCTAATAACAGTACAGATGCCCGGATGCCTCCATTTCACTGCCCTTTACCAGTGCCAGGCACTTTTCCAGAACGTCACATGGTTTCCCTGGGTTCCTCCTTACAGCAACCTTGGGAGATGGATCCCATCCTTTTTTTTTTTCTTTTTTAAAGATTTTATTTATTTATTTGAGAGAGAGGGTGAGAGGAGAGAGAGAGAGAGAGCACATGAGAGGGGGAAGGGTCAGAGGGAGAAGCAGACTCCCTGCCGAGCAGGGAGCCCGATGCGGGACTCGATCCCGGGACTCCAGGATCATGACCTGAGCTGAAGGCAGTTGCTTAACCAACTGAGCCACCCAGGTGCCCTTTTTTTTTTGAATTGAGGTATAATTGATACAGCACTATGCTATATCAATTAGTTTCAGGTGTATAGTGTAATGATTCAGTATTTGTATGTATTGCAAAGTGATCACTACAGTAAGTGTATAGTTAATATCATCACCATACATAGTTATAGATTTTTTTATGTTGTGATGAGAACTTTCAAGATCCACTCTCCTAGGGCGCCTGGGTGGCTCAGTTGGTTAAGCGACTGCCTTCAGCTCGGGTCATGATCCTGACCCGCATCAGTCCCGCAATCGAGTCCCGCATCAGGCTCCCTGCTCGGCAGGGAGTCTGCTTCTCCCTCTGACCCTCCCCCCTCATGTGCTCTCTCTCTCTCTCTCTCCTCTCACCCTCTCTCTCAAATAAATAAATAAAATCTTTAAAAAAAAAAAAAAGATCCACTCTCCTAGTGGATTTCCCCTCAGTTTTCTTAAATTGAAATATAGTTAACACACAATTGTTACAGTAGTTTCAGGTGTAAAACTTCATGCTGTGCTCACCACAAGTGTAGCTACCATTTATCACTGTACAATTGGACTATATTATTCCTGTTGTACCCTGCCCTACCTACTTTTAAATATGCACTACAATATTTTTAACTGTAGTCACCATGCTGTACATTATATCCCCATGACTTACTCATTTTATAACTGGAAATTTGTACCTTTTAACCCCCTTCACCCATTTAACCCACCCCCTGCCTCAGGCAATCACCAATCTGTTCTCTTACCCACAACCTTGTTTTCTGGTTTTTCTTATAGATTCCACATAGAAGTGAAACATATAATATTTATCTCTTTCTTTCTGTCCACTTATTATAAGACTGCTTATTTCACTTTGCACAATGCCCTCAAAGTGTATCCATGTGGCAAATGACTAGATTCCATTTTTTTAGTGACTGAGCAATATTCAGGTGCATGTGCATGCACACCACATTTTCTTTGCCTGTTCATCCATCGGTGGACACTTCGGTCATTTCCATTGTAAATAATGTATTGTAAATAATGTAAATAATTGTAAATAATTTGGCTATTGTAAATAATGCTGCAGTGAACATAGGGGTGCAGATGTATTTTCAAATTAATGTTTCATTCAGGTGAATACCCAGAAGTGGAATTGCTGGATCATATGGTAGTTCTATTTTAATTTTTTGAGGAACCTCTGTTCTATTTTCCGTAGTGGCTGTGCCAGTTTACATTCCCACCAACAGTGCATGAGGTTCCCTTTCTTCCACCTCCTCGCTAACACTTGTTATATCTTGTCTTTTTTTTAAGATCTTATTTATTTTAGAGAGAGAGCTCTAGTGGGGGGAGGGGCAGAGGGAGAAGAAAAGAGAATCCCAAGCAGGCTCGATCTCACGATCCTGAGATCAGGATGTGAGCCAAAATCAATAGACACTTAGCCTACTGAGCCTCTTGTCTTCCTTTTTTTTTTTTTTTTTAATTTAAAAAAATTTTTAATTTCTTTTTTGAGTAATCTCTACACTCAGTGTGGGGCTTAAACTCACAACCCCAAGATCAAGAGTTGGGTGCTCTATTGACTAAGCCAGCCGGGCACCCCATTTTCTTGTCTTTTTTGATAATAGTCATTCTAACAGGTGTGAGGTGTTATCTGATTGTGGTTTGACTTTCATTTCCCTAATGTTTAGTGATGTTGAGCATCTTCTCGGGTGTCTGTTAGCCATCTGTATTTCTTTTTTGGGAAAATGTCTCTTCAGATCCTCTGCTCATTTTGTTATTGGATTGGTTTTTTGCTGTTGAGTTGTATGAGTCTTTTATATATTTAGACATTAACTCCTTATCAGATATGATTCGCAAATATTTTTTTCTGTTAGGTAGGTTGCCTTTTCATTTTGTTGATGGTTTCCTTTACTGTAGAGAAGCTTTTTAGTTTGATGTAGTCACACTTATTTTTGCTTTTGTTTCCAAGTCAAAAAATAATTGCTAAGACCAATGTCAAGAGGCTTACTGCTTAGGTTTCCTTTTAGGAGTTTTGTGGTTTCAGGTCTTATATTCATTCATGTCTTTAATCCATTTTGAGTTAGTTTTTGTGTGTGGTGTAAGATAGTGATCCAGATTCCTTCTTTTGCATGTGGCCATGTACTTGTGCCCACATTATTTATTGAAGTGACTGTCCTTTCCTCATTGTATGTTATTAGATTTTTTGTCATAAAGTAATTGACTATGTATGTGTGACTTTACTTCTGGTCTCATTTTTGTTGCATTGATCTATGTGTTTTATGCTAGACTATTCATTTTCTTTTTTTTTTTTCTCTTTTTTTTTTAAAGATTTTATTCATTTATTTGAGAGAGAGAGCATGAGAGACAGAGAGCACGAGAGGGAGGAGGGTCAGAGGGAGAAGCAGACTCCCCGCTGAGCAGGGAGCCCGATGCGGGACTCGATCCCGGGACTCCAGGATCATGACCTGAGCCAAAGGCAGTCGCTTAACCAACTGAGCCACCCAGGCGCCCTAGACTCTTCATTTTCTTAATGATGTTACTTGACTAAAGGTGTTTAATTTTGGGAAAGTCATTCTACTCGTATCTAGTCTAAAATACTGTTGTGTAAGTCGAGATGGTTAAAATATTTTCTGTGGGTTTTATTTTTTGTTTTCTGATTGATTTCAAAAGTTTTTAATTAAAATTTTTGCTTATGCAGTGATAATAGAAAATGCAGTTCCTTTTTACCCATTGAGTTCTTTCAGTACCATTTATTAAGACTGCTTTCCCTACTGAATCTCTTCTCTTACTGAAAATAATTTGTGCACATGTAGGTTTGTTTCTAACTCTGTTCTATTCTATTGATCTATTTGTTACTTATTCCAGTAACTCTTCATTACTCCCATCCAAGTACTAACCAGGCCCGACCCTGCTTAGCTTCCGAGATCAGACGAGATCGGGCGCGTTCAGGGTGGTATGGCCGTAGACAGTAATCTTCATTACTGTGGTGAACTTAGTAGTATGAATCCTCTGAATTTGTTTTTCTTTCTTAACATTGTTCCGGCTCCTCTAGATCTTTTGCGTTTTGTTATACATTTTACTTTTTTTGTATCTTTTTTTTTTTTTCGGTGTGGGGCTTGACCTCACGACCCTGAGATCAAAACCTGAGTTGAAATCAAGAGTTGGATGCTTAACCAACTTATCCATCCAGGCACCCCTGGTGTACATTTTAGATTTGGCTTGAAACTTCTAGAGAAAAAGCCTGCTGGGATTTTGATAGGGATTGCATTGTATTGGCAGGTGAACTCAGGGAGAATAAATGCTACCATAATAATAATGATTCTTGTAGTCTCTGAAAGTGATATTGCTGCCTAGTTATTTAGGTCTTTAATTTTTTTTCAGCAGTGTTTCACATTTTTTGTTGTCAAGGTCTTACACAGCTTCTAACTTATTCCTAGATATTTTATATGTCTTAGGCTATCATAATTGGCTTTTTTTTTTTTAAGTTTCATTTTCCAGTTCTTTTGCTGAAGTATGTTTTTTTAGTTGAGATTACTGTGAAATGAAAACAAGATTATTTGGTGAAAGTAAGAGTAATGATAAAACAGTTTTTGATTCAGGAAAAACTGGCAAGATTTGTACATGGTTTTGGAGAGATTGGAAGGTCAGGTTTCATAGTATGCTTTTCTCGAATGTAGGTGCTCCTTTTGCAACTGAAGGTTAGGGGTTGTGTGCAGAGTGGTCTTGCCAGGTACCTTCAGAGAGGAGGTAAATGGTTGGAGTTGTCCAAGGCCGGTCTTTTGGTCAGTAGGTGTTATAATGGGCAGAGAGTAGTTGATGTTTTAGATCCATAATGACTTCCAGCTGGGTAGGTGGGGTGGTGAAAAAATGAATTTGCTGTTAGGGAGCAAGATGTAACAACATGGGTGGCCTGGAATCCTCTCTCAAGTGAGAGTTTGAAGTGTTAATAGAGGAGATTTTGTAGAGAGCAAGATCTCTGAGTCATTATCTTCAAGGTGAAGCTGATTCCAGTGATGACAAGGCCTGGACCGTGGCCAGGGTGTATGTGTTGGTGTGGCGTGTGCGGCCAAAAGGCACTGGAGATTAGAACACGTGGTTCTACGTGGACCATCCTCGTGGCTACTAGAACCATCTTAAGTCATGGTGAGCCTTAAAGTTGGAAGGAAGAGGAGAAGTCTGGAGCCCAAGTGTTTATCGAGTAAGGGAGTCAGACAAGTTGTGCTTGGGGACAGATTACCTGGAGAATGGATCTGAATCTTACTTGAGGCGCATCAGGGACCTTCCCCACATTGCCTGGAGGATTTCCTGGGAAGAGAAAGGCCCGTGACAGGGTCCCGGGTAGAACTTGCTGCTCCAGAGAGGAGATGCAGGAAAGCAGAAGTCAGAATTCTGTGAGCCCGAGAGGCAGGACTGCTCCTGGTAGTCCTTTTCTCATTTCCTACAGATGCCTGCTCCAAGAGTCCTGTGACAGCTTCCTGCCACCAGTGCCCTGTTGTTCAGGCAAATCGACTTCATTCTCACGGGATGGCAGCTCTTGGTCTGTCTCCCACACGTGGTAAGTTCTTGGGGTGATGAATGGATGCCCTCAGAAGTCCAGCTTAAGTGGCCCCTGGACGTCACAGAGCTCAAGGGTGTGCATGGCCAGAGGGAGGGCTGCCAGAGAGGATGGAGGAACTGGAAAGAGGTGGGAGCAAAGTCTTGGTATCCTCCCAGTGACTGTGTCTGATTTGGGGTCTTTGTGAGTTTGGGTGAAGTAGGGATTGTGTGTGGTTGGTGTATAAGGAAGGACTGTAATGGGTAACCCTCTATTAGTTTTTTATTATTATTATCATTATTAAAGGTTTCCTTTTTAAGTAATCTCTTCACCCAGCGTGGGGTTCAAACTCACAATCCCGAGATCAAGAGTCGCAGGCTCCACCAACTGAGTCAGCCAGGTGCCCCTATTATTTTTTTTTATCCATTTATTATTGTGATAAATCTGAGCAGAGTAACAGGTCTGCCTCTTAGAGCTTTAATTTCTTCACTCATTGATTGAGAACACATATCACTTTGGGTATGAAGCCCACCGTCCTTTTTCCGTCCATGAGCGGAGCAGGGCTGCTCTGGCTCGTTACAAGACATTGCGTGTGTGAAAGAGAGACGGGGATTGGCACTGCACACTTACAGTGGGTGTGGGGCATTTTCCTGATCTCTGAGTGTCGGGCAGGCTCTAATCCTCATGGATCTGCTCTTCTCCAGCTGTGTCCACTCAGGACCCTGCCTATATCCAGGAGTCAGAAGTTTCTCCTTCTTCAAAAGACCATTCCTCTTCTCAGGATGTGGACCTGTTTGCTTGCAGTGGCCTAGAACCCCCTATGCTAGCAGGTGTTGGTTCTCAGGTATGAGATCTCTGGGACCCTGGGGGTGGGAGAGGCACTTCCCTAGAATGCCCTCAGCACCACTTGTTAGAGTTCTTTGAGCGCCTCCCCTAGGCTGATCAATGCCTGATCAGGGCACAGGAGAAAAAGCCAGAGACTGTTGTAAGGCTCTCCTGGTATCAGGGACCTGGTTAGGGGAAATGAACTTGTGTAGCAGGTCCTTCTCTCATAACAGAGCTCAGAATGCTCAGCTCAAAGCTAGAGAGCTTTGGTCCCGTGTTAGCAAGAGTTTGAATTTGAAGAGATAGGATCACCCCATAGTGAAGAGCCTTGAGGACTGGCTTCTGGAACACATTTGAGACCCCAGAACCCCATCTGAAAATCCTGTGTTTGGAGTCTCGTGCCCAGGCTTCAACCTCAGCCATCTTTCTGTGAACACAGATAGGCTGGTTTCTTACTGACCCCAAATGTGTGTGGTGATTCAGGAGTCAGTGACTTTCCAGGATGTTGCTGTGGACTTCACTGAGAAGGAGTGGCCCTTGCTGGATTCTTCTCAGAGAAAACTGTACAAAGATGTGATGTTGGAGAACTACAGCAACCTCGCCTCAGTGGGTAAGGCTGGAATCATTTTTCTGTTTGAGTATCAGATGTTTTTGTTTTGAGTACTTGCTGTGACCCAGGGACTGCGGGGATTTGGAACATAATTGTGACCAAGCCGAGCTGGTGCCCCACTCACAGTGTCTCCTAGTGGTTGTTGAGACCTGTTCATTGCCTTGACCTTGGACGTTGTCATGTGTGTCTGAGTTTGGGCATAGGTTTCTTTTTTTTTTAAAGATTTTATTTATTCATTTGAGACACAGAGATAGAGAGAGAAAGCATGAGCAGGGAGAGAGGCAGAGGCAGAGGGAGAAGCAGGCTCCTTGCTGAGCGAGGAGCCTGATGTGGGGCTCGATCCCAGGACCCTGGGATCATGACCTGAGCTGAAGGCAGACGCTTAACCATCTGAACCACCCAGGCGCCTGGGCATAGGTTTCTTTTTTTTTTTTTTTAAGATTTTATTTATTCATTTGAGACACAGAGAGAGAGAGAGAGAGAGAGAGAAAGCATGAGCAGGGAGAGAGGCAGAGGCAGAGGGAGAAGCAGGCTCCTTGCTGAGCCAGGAGCCGGATGTGGGGCTCGATCCCAGGACCCTGGGATCATGACCTGAGCTGAAGGCAGATGCTTAACCATCTGAACCACCCAGGCGCCTGGGCATAGGTTTCTGAGTTAAATCCTCATTCCTTTGAAGGGCAAAGCGTGTGGGTCTTTGTGGTTTTGTGTTTTATGAAAGTCTTTCGCTGTGTTCCTTAGAAATTTGGCACCATCATTTTGCTGCTCCTAAGTCAGACTTGTCCATCTTCAGAACACTGAAGACCAAAACATTGACCCCAGCCTAACGGAAGGGGTTGTCCTCTGCACGATCCTCCCTCAACATGTGTCTTTCCCGTGAGTAGGGTATCAGGTGGGCAAACCCAGCCTCATCTCCCACTTGGAGCAAGAAGAGGAGCTGAGGACAGAGGAGAGGGCACTTCACCGAGCCACATCTCCCGGTAAGCACCAGGCAGACGCAGGTACTTCTGGATACCTGCTGTATTGAGTGATGGGATGGAGGGAGATCCACTAGGAAATGTCACCCAGGGAAATTTGAGAATGATCCTTCTCCGTTCTCTCACAAATCCTTTGGTCCCACAGTCCTCTCCCGTGTGCGTGCGTATGTGTGTATTTCTTTTGTTGCTTTTGTCTATCTACTTACTTTTTGTTGAGATATAACTGACATGACACTGTTAGTTTCAGGTGTACAACATAATGATTTAGTATTTGTATATATTGCAAAGTGATCACCACAGTAAGTCTGACTAAAATCACATCCATTACTACACAGTTACAAAAATATTTTTTCCTTGTGATGAGAACTTTTAAGATTTACTGTCTTAGCTTTCAGTGCATTATAGTATCATTAACTGTAGTCACCATGTGTGTGTTACATCCCCAGGACTTACTTATTTCGTAACTGGGCGTTTGTACCTTTCGTGTACCTTTTGACCTTCTTCACACCCGTTTGTCCACCCACCACCTCTGACAACCACCACCAATCTGTTCTCTGTATCCATGAGCTCAGTTGTTCTGTTTCTTTGGCGGGGGGGGGGTTGGTTTTTGTTTTTAGAGTCCACACTTCAGTGAGATAAGGTATGTTTTCCTTTGTCTTATCTCACTTAGCATTATGCCCTCTATCCTTGTCGAAAATGGGAAGAGTCCCTTTTTTATGGCTGAATAATACTCCATTGTGTATATATACCACATTTTCTCTATCTGTTCATCTCTCAAGGGACGCTTAGGTTGCTTCCATTGCCTTGGCTATTATAAATAATGCCGCTGTGAATGTGGGGGTGTGGCTATCTTTTCAAGGTAGTGTTTTTGTTTCCTTTGAATAAATACCCAGAAGCAGAATTGCTTGACGTCATCTTTAAATCCGACATGTCCACATGAGCTCTGTCCCATCCTTTCATTCCACTCAACATTCCTGGGCATACTCTTTCTGTTGTTATCAGTGTCAGTCATTGAAGAATTTATTCCTTAGTGAATCAAGTTAAATGTCTCCCCTGTCACTGCCAGATGCCTCACACAGCCACAGTTCGCAGACATTTTTACCCAACATGTGGGTTTCTCCCCTTTAACATCACCTTTCCTTCTTTAGGGTTAGTATTGCAAAGAAATTCCCTCCTCTTCCCCCCCCCCCACCTCATCTTTGTCACTACCATCTCACCATCTTCTTTCTTTTTTTTTTTTTTTAAGATTTTATTTATTTATTTGAGAGAGCGAGAATGAGAGAGAGCACATGAGAGGGGGGAGGGTCAGAGGGAGAAGCAGACTTCCCGCCGAGCAGGGAGCCCGATGCGGGACTCGATCCCGGGCCTCCAGGATCATGACCTGAGCCAAAGGCAGTTGCTTAACCAACTGAGCCACCCAGGCGCCCCTCACCATCTTCTTCCTCTAGCTAATATTTCTCTTCCCGGGTTAATATTTCACCAATTTGTTTCAGATTGGGAGACTCCGTCTAAAAGCAAGTGGTCCGTTCTCATGGAAGGCATTTTTGGGAAGGAAGCATCCAGCGGTGTGGCAGTGGTAAGAGTTCCTTGGGATAATCCCAGGTCTCCCAGGGGAGAAGACAGGGGCAGCCTCAGAAAAGCAGCTCAAGAACCGAGCGAGTGGCCTTCCCTGAGAGGCACCTGTTTCGGACACTGAGTATCACAGCTTTGGGGGAAAACCCTAAACCGAGCCCCAAATTTCTTGACTTAGAGTTGTGGCAACCAAATCTTGCTGTAACTGTGCCTCAGCTAGTGAGTGTTGGGGCTCAATTCAGATTTAAACAGTTAACAAAACGTATGTGCGAAAAGCTTTGTGAAAGTTACAGCCATGGAGCCTTAGGGGGCGGTGTCCACCTTTCTATTTGTTAGAGGCCAGATGGGGCAGGAGCAGGGCTTTGGCGCCGCAAATCATGACGCCATTCGTCACGGTGATGTGCTTCTACTTCCAATAATTCGTGGGGGGATGACTGCAGATGATTTGTAGGGATGTGGCGAGTTGTGGGAAATGCCTCAGTCAGCACTCCTCTCTTAACAGGAAAGAACACATCTCGGAGAGAAACCCACCGAGTACACGCGCCTGTTTGAAGCCTTCAGCATGGGCACTCATCTTACTCAGCAGATGGGAAGGCACGCTGGCAAGAGGCCCTGTCGCCGCCGGGACTGTGGGGCAGCTTTCAAGAACAGGTCGCATCTCGCCCAACATGTGAGCATTTACAATGGGAGGAAAATGCATGAATGTCACCAGTGCCAAAAAGCCTTCACCACGAGCGCGTCCCTTACGCGGCACAGGAGAATTCACACAGGGGAGAAGCCCTACGAGTGCAGTGCCTGCGGGAAAGCCTTCAACGACCCCTCTGCCCTCAGGAGTCACGCGAGAACTCACCTCACAGAGAAGCCCTTTGACTGCAGTCAGTGTGGAAACGCCTTCCGAACCCTCTCCTCGCTGAAGATACACACGAGAGTTCACACTGGGGAGAGACCTTACAAGTGTGACGAGTGTGGGAAGGCGTACGGCAGGAGCTGCCACCTCATTGCACACAAACGGACACACACTGGAGAGAGACCCTACGCTTGCCACGACTGTGGGAAAGCATTCCAGCATCCCTCGCATCTCAAAGAGCATGTCCGCAATCACACCGGAGAGAAACCCTATGAATGCACGCAGTGTGGAAAAGCCTTCCGATGGAAGTCGAACTTCAACTTGCACAAGAAGAACCACATGGTAGAGAAAACATACGAATGTAAGGAATGTGGGAAATCCTTTGGTGATCTCTTGTCACGGAGAAAACACATGAGAATTCATATTGTAAAGAAACCCATTGAGTGTAGACAGTGTGGGAAAGCGTTCCGGAACCAATCCATCCTTAAGACACACATGAATTCTCACACCGGAGAGAAACCCTATGGGTGTGATCTGTGTGGGAAAGCCTTCAGTGCGAGCTCAAACCTGACCACACACAGGAAAATCCACACTCAAGAGAGACGCTATGAATGTGCCGCCTGTGGGAAAGTGTTTGGGGACTATTTATCCCGGAGGAGGCACATGAGCATTCATCTGGTAAAGAAACGTGTTGAATGTAGGCAGTGTGGGAAAGCCTTCAGAAACCAGTCGACCCTCAAGACACACATGAGAAGTCACACAGGAGAGAAGCCGTACGAGTGTGATCATTGCGGGAAAGCCTTCAGCATCGGCTCCAACCTTAATGTGCACAGGAGGATACACACTGGGGAGAAGCCCTACGAATGCCTGGCCTGTGGGAAAGCCTTCAGTGACCACTCATCCCTTCGGAGTCACGTGAAAACTCACCGGGGAGAGAAGCTCTTCGTGTCATCCGTGTGGAAGAGGCTCCAGTGATGGGTCTTCTTTAGGGGACACACGCGAGCTCAGACTGGGAGGCAGCCTCGTTGGCGTAAGGAAGGCAGGAGCACTTTGATGAACTCACCTGGGCACAAAAGAGTACCTGTAACAGGAGAAATCCAGTTTGTGTCCTGGCTGGGGAAGACCTGTTTCTTCTCATCACTATGGGGTTTTGTGAGAACTCATGCTGGGGGCAAAAATGTACCTGTGGTGTGCAGAAGCCATCAGAGTACATTCGGCTCTTTAAAGAAAATGAGAAATCTAGGGAGAGAAACCGTAGCTTGGTATTTAATATCAAAATGACTTTAGCACCACCCGGCACCTTCTGGGCTTACGAGTAAGCACACTAGGGAGAGTCTCTGTAAATTCACTCTCTGGGCAAACCTTTACTGGTCTCACCCTGTATTCTTCATGAAAGAAATCATACTAAAGAGATAAATTCTGTAAAGTAGGAATGTGGGAAGGTCTGTAACAGAGGTCAGCAAAGTGGCCAACTGTCTGTTTTTGTATGGCTTGCAAGCTAAGAACAGTTGTTCCGTTTTTAAAGAAGAAAAATGTGTGACAGACACCACATGCAACTCACAAAGCCTAAAATCCTTACTTTCTGGTCCTTTACAGAAAAACTTGGCCAACCCTTGGTCTACAGCAGCAGTTCCTAACTGGGAGTGATTTTGCTTGTCCGGAGACATTTTAAGTTGTTAAAGCTCAGGGTGGGGGGAGATGCTTCTGGCACATGACGACGCATAGGAGCCCCCACAGCAAAGAATTATGTGGCCCAAAATGTGGGTATTGCTGAGGTTGAGAAACTTAGCCTGGGACAGCCCCTCAGTTTTTGTGAAATGTTACTCATGCTAGGAGAGTTTTCTATTTAAAACTTCAAAAATATAATCAAGTGTAATTCTTTCAGGAAACGTGAGAACCCACACTGCAGACAGTCCCCACATTGAGATGATTTTAGCCACAGCCCCCTCACTTGTGCTTATGAGAATTCATACCCTGATGGAATTTTCTAGTGGATAGGAAATTTATCAGTCTTTCATCATGAGAACAGACCCTAACTCGTTAATTCGTAGTCTCTGTTTTTAAGATTTTGCTCCTTTAACGCTTAGGCTTCATCACACAAGGTTTGTATATAGTATTTTTATTATAATTTCATTCCTGATACGTGTTAATTTCCTTCTGGATAACTTACTTGACCAGTGGACTGTTTAGAATTGTGTTAAATACCATGTAACGTGGGTATATTTAATACCTGTTTGTTACGAGTGTCTAATTCAAATGCATTGGCTCAGCGCACAGTGTCTTCCATTTAGATGGATCCTCTGGAATGTTCTCGGGCTCCTGTCCAGCCAAGAGTGACATACACATCTCATTGCTCTCCCAGTGTCTCCTCTTTCATGTCAGGAAAATCCAGCTTTTGTCCAATTACTAACGTGTGCTATTTTTAAAAATCTCACCAGTTTTCTGCAGCCAGTACAGTCCTTGTCTCAGCCTGGTCGTTGACCGATAAACAGATGAGAAAGAGCTAGAAAAGGGATTATTCTTACCTGGGTTCTTCTACGTGTTTTGTTTTTGCTGTTTGCTCTACTTCTCACCTTGCAAGGAGATCAAGTACCCAGTGTTAAAAGATCCATCATGGGCGCCTGGGTGGCTCAGTTGGTTAAGCAACTGCCTTCGGCTCAGGTCATGATCCTGGAGTCCCGGGATCGAGTCCCACATCGGGCTCCCTGCTCGGCAGGGAGTCTGCTTCTCCCTCTGACCCTCCCCCCTCTCATGTGCTCTCTTTCATTCTCTCTCTCTCAAATAAATAAATAAAATCTTTTAAAAAAATAAATAAATAAATAAAAGATCCATCATGTGACCATGAGGATGCAAGCCACAGGCTAAAGAGGATCCTGCAGAAAAGTCGCAATGATCCTGGCCTCCCCAGTAGCTTCTTTGTCTACACTAGCCATGGATTTGTTATTTCCAGACTTCTATTACAGGAGGAAAAAAATAAAACATTATTGGCGTAAGTGGCTTTGGATATTTCATTGTTGATCAGTTTAATAATTTTTTGTTTGGGGGAGGGTTCTGCTGCTCCCAAGTGGTTGCCGTCTGTAATACATACACTCGTTCATTAGTAAGGTTTTATAACTGCCTTGTGTGTGGATATAATCTGCTTATACTTGTAACCGTTGGATATGGGTTTTTTTACATCTTTAAGCCATGTTTTAAAATTGTACTTCAAGTCTTTGACATAAGTATTTATTTTCTTGACTTGAAGTAAGTGTATCAGTTTTTACAAAAGCCCTAAGAAGCAAGTACCATCACTATCTCCCTTTTGCGTATGGAGAATCAGAGGCAAGCAAGTTTAGGTTGCTTGTCTGAGGTCAGCCCACAAGCCAGTAGTAGTGCTTGTATTTTAGTCCCACTTCTCTTCTGTCTATGCCCTACATCTGTAGCAGTGAATTGGGATTTTTGCCCTCATGGTGCTTACATTCTGCTTAGGGTAAGGCACCTGAAAAACAAATGAGTAAATAAATATGTTGTATATCAAATGGCGGTACACACAGTGGAGGAAAAATTAAGCATGGTGCTGGTGAGAGGGTATGCAGGAGTTAAGCAGACCTGTTGGGTGGGCTGGGAAAGCCTGCCTTTAAGGGAGCATTTGAGCAGAAATGTCCATGAACTCTGAGTGCGCCATATGTATTCTGGGGAAGAGCACCCTTGGCAGTTCAGAGGCCGTGAAAAAGAAAACTTCATGGGACCGCCATGCAGTAGCCAAGGGGCCAGTGTGGCCGGAGTGGAGCAAGCTTGGGAGTCACAGAAGATGAGGCTAGAGCTGGGTCAGGATCCTGATCTTGTGGGTTTACTGGAAGGACTTTGCCGTTTATCCTCCATGCAGTAGGAGGTCGGTGGAGGGTTTTGAACAGAGGGGTGGCAACTGTCCGATTTCTGTTTGAATCACTGGCTTCCAGGTTGACCGGCTAAGGAAGGACAATGGACAAACAAGCCTGTTAGGAAGTCGTTGCAGAATTACAGTTAGATACACTGGGGGCCAGATTGGGGAGGTTTGAGAAGCACATGGATGAATGTAGCTGTAATTCTCACTTCCAGACAGCGGTCATTTGTTCCCTGCAGTGTACCTTTCATATCGCCAGACATGACTTCGAGTTAGTTGTTTCCGTTTTCCCCAGTTACAAACACTTCTACTTAAAGAGATGGTGTGCATACTTTCTAGAGTGTCCGTGAGTTATTCCAGGTGTAAGGTCTGTGCACGTTCAGCTTAACAGTATTGATGTCAAAATAATTTCTGCAGTGATTGTGTGTGTTACCATTTAAAACAGGTTTGACTGAAACATAAACCTGCTTAATTCACACATGTACAGCTTAATTCTTTGAACAAATCCATGTAATCAGCAAGCAAGAAGAAATCCTACCAGCATAGCTGACATCCCTTCTTTGCCACATGCCCACGACGAATCCTGCCCTACTCTGCATGGGTAACCAGAATTCTGACTGACCACATGGCTTGGGTTTTTGGTTTTTTGGTTTTTTTGTCTTTGAACTCTATACAGAACCATACAGTATGTGTTCTTTTGTGTCTGTCTGACTTTACACATTATTTCTGTGAAATTGATCCTTATTATTTAGAGTATCTCTAGCTAGTACATTTTTGTGTGTGTTCTGTCTGAATATTCCACAATTATTTAAGTAGTTTGTGTCACTTGACATTTCACTTTTCATGTGGGGGCTATTGTGAATAATGCTGCTATGGACATAACTTTAACATTTCTGATAGTGCACAAGTGCATGTATTTTTCTTGGGTGTATACCCTGGACTGAAATTGCTGGGTCGTAACGGGGTGCATATGTTCATTTTGTAGATGATGCCAAATTTCCAAAGTGGTTGTGCAAATTTGTTTCCCAACAAGCTATTTTATAGAGTTGGAAAAGATACTAAAGTTGCCTGCCTTTTTCTTACTGTGATTTACATATTCCATTATGAGCCCTCTGGATGGATGTTTTGCATGTTTTCTCCCACTCTGTGGCTTGTCTCCAGTGTTTTAAATGGTGTTTTTGGTTGAAATGAGTTCCTAATTTTAATTTTATGGACAGCATTCTTCTGTTCCTGTGTAAGGAATATTTGCCACCCACTATTTTTTTTTTTTAAGATTTATTTATTTATTTATTTGACAGGGAGAGAGACAGTGAGAGAGGGAACACAAGCAGGGGGAGTGGGAGAGGGAAAGGCAGGCTTCCCGCTGAGCAGAGGACCCTGGGATCATGACCTGAGCCGAAGGCAGACGCTTAACGACTGAGTCACCCAGGCGCCCCAGAAGTATTTGCCACCCAGAAGGCAAGACATTCTATGATTTCTTCTACAAGCTGGTTTTGGTTTTGGTTTTGGTTTTTGGTTTTAGTATGTACCTGTAGATCTATATTTAGATCTACAGTCCATGTGAAACTGATTTTTGTAGGTATTGTGTGAGCTATTAATCTTACTTTATTTTTTCCATGTTGACCCAGCATTATTTATACAAAAAGCACATCTTGGCCCTAGGAATTTGAGAGATCACCTTTGTCATATATTGAATTCCATATGTATTTGGTCTAATTCTGAGCTTTTTATTCTACTGATTTGTTCATGTACCATACCACAGTATTTAAATTATAAGCAGCTTTATAATAAGCTTTAATGTCTGGAATGTCTAGTTCCTTCTCATGGTTATTCTTTTTCAGTGTCTTCCTAGGTATTCTTGCTTCGTTTTTCTTTTTTTTTTTTAAGATTTTTTTTTAAGTAACCTCTACCCAACGTGGGGCTCAAATTTACAACCCGAAGATCAAGAGTCACATGCTGTACTGACTGAGCCAGCCAGGTGCCCTGTTTGTTTTTTATACGGCACTTTCCTTTTAGCTTGTCCAACTCCATAAAATTAGCTTGTTGGTATTTTTACTGTCATTCCCTTGAATTTATAAGTTAACTTGAGAACTATTCTATAATGTAAAGTCATCTTATCCAAGAACAGAGAATGTCTTTCCATTTGTTCGGGTCTATTTTAGTCCTTGGAATGTGTAAAAGTTTTCCATATACAAGTTTTATACATTCTTGTTAAATTTTCTCTAAGTATTTAGTCATTTATTATAAATAAGCTTTTCTCTACCTTTATGTTTCCTGTTCAGTTTTTGTACATGAAAGCTACTAATTTTGTAACTTGGCTACTTTACGGAATTATTTTTTGAGTTAGCTGTATTACTGGTTTTTTATTTGTTTTTCTTGTCTAATTGCATTGGCGAATAACCTCTAGTACAATGACAAATAGTAGCAGAGATAGTGGGCATCCTTGCTTTGTTCTAGAGGAGATGCCTCTGTTGTTCTCCCATTAATTAAGATAATGTCTTTTGGAACGAAGGTATTATATTTATTTTATCATATTGAGAAAATATCCTATATTCTTGAATGTTCTGTCATGAATGGGTGTTGAATTTTGTCATTTTTTTTGAACATCTATGAAGAGGATCATGATTCTTCTGATTTATTAATAAAGTATGTGATATTAATAAATATCTCAATATTCAACAAATCTTGCATTCCTGGAGTGAATTTCACTTGTTCATGATGTATTATTTTCTCAATGTGGTGCTGGATCCTTTTTGCTAGTATTTTGTTTAGAATTTCTCATTGGTATTCATGTATGATAATTGGTCTGTAGTTTCTACTGTCTCTGTCTGGTTATAACGGTATTAATATTATGCTTGCTTCATAAAAGACATTGGGAAGGGGCACCTGGGTGGCTCAGTTGGTTAGGCGACTGCCTTCGGCTCAGGTCATGATCCCAGGGTCCTGGGCTCAAGTCCCGCATCGGGCTCCCTGCTCAGCGGGGAGCCTGCTTCTCCCTCTAACCCTTCCCCCTCTCATGTACTCTCTCTCTCAGATAAATAAATAAATCTTAAAAAAAAAGTATTGGGAAGTTTTCCTTAGCAGTGCTCGGGGATAATTTATATGGCATTAGGACTGTGTGGTTTTGGAAGATTTGGTCGAATTCCCTGTGAAACCATCAGAGTCAACTGCTTTTTAGTGGTATATTTCTTTAGGGATTTTATTTCTTCCATAGAAATTGGTCTTTCTTGAGCCTTCTAACTTAAATCGGTGTTGGTAATCTGTATTTTCCTAGGAAATTGTCTATTTCATTTAGCATGGAGATCAGCAAAGTAGTCTTACGATTTTAAATGTTTTCTGATTCAGTGGTTATCACCTCTTAGCTTTTTATATATTTGCTTTCTCTTTTCCTGATCAAGTGAACTACAGGTTTGTCTGCTTGTTTTTTTTAAAAATGGAATTTTGACTAATGAGATCTATTATTTTTCTGTTTTCCTCATTAATTTCTGCTTTTATCTCCACTCCTTCCTTATGCTTTGTTTTGGTTTATTTTTCTTTTTCCACTTTTTTTCTTAACTGGCAGTTAATTTATTCTTAATCTTTCATTTTATTGACAAGTGCTTCCTATATTGAATTTTCCTCTGATTACTGCTTTAAAGTGCATTTCATGGATTCTAATATGTAGTTTCGATCGTCACTATTTCTTTGAAATTCTGTAATTTCAGTTTGTATTTCCCCTTTCATTCAGGAGTTAATAGAGGTTTTTAAATTCCGGTACAAGAGGTTTTTGTTTTTGTTTTTGTTTTCATTTTTGTTCGTAAATTCTAGGTTTATTGTATGTTGAGTTTCTGCAGTTTGGATATAATAGGCCTAGATGGAGGGTATTAATCCTGCTTGATGATCTCTCAGTTTTCTGGATCTGTGGTTTGGTGTCTAATTTTGGAAAATTCTCATCTGTTATTACTTAAAATATTCTGTTGTTTTCTCTTATTCTCCCCCCTCCCTCAGTATTCCCATAACACATATGTTAACGCTTTTTGTAAATTGTCCCATGGTTCTTGGATATTTTGTTTGTCTTTTTCATTCTCCTTTCTCTCTCTCTCTCTCTCTCTCTTTGCATTTGTGTTTTAGAAGTTTCTGTTGAAGCATCTACAAGTTCTTTCTCAGCCAGGTTCAGTCTGCCACACCCATCAAGGACAATCTTCATTTCTGTTGCAGTGTTTTTGATTTCTGGCATTTCCTTTTGATTCTTAGAGTTTTCATTTCTCAGCTTACATTACTCATTTGTTCTTGCATGTTTGCTTTTTCCATTAGAACATGTAGCATATTAACCGTAGTTATTTTAGATTCCTGGTCTGAGCATTCCAGAATCTCTGCCGTAACTGAGTCTGGTTCTGATGCTTGCTTATCTCATGTTAGACTGTTCTTACTTGCCTTTTAACGAGCCTTGCAATTTTTTTTTTTTTTTGAAAGTTTGACATGATGTGTTAGGTAAAAGGATCAGCAGTAATAGGCCCTCAGTGTGTTTTAGTTTTTCTGGCTAGAGGTTAGTCTGTGTTCATGGGGTGCTGTAGCTATTGTGTGAAAGGCCGGAGTTTCCTCTGGTGTCCCTGTTTCCTTTGGGTTCTTCTAGAGATTCCTTAAATCTGGGCTGAGACTAGCAACTCTTCTAACTGGAGTCTCCTTCATACAGGAGCCAAGAAGATCCTTCTCTTCAGTTTTAAGCAACAAGAGTTCCTTTATGTTTGTTTTTAGCCCATTGCTACTTTTCTGAATTCAGGATAAAAGCTGATTTTTTTTTTTTTAAAGCCTACCAGTTACTCCTTGAGAATAAAATAAATAGATATGCTTCCTAAAAATAAGTTCCAGCCTTGGGCCTTTGATAATTGTTTTGACGTAATTTTTTAAAAGAGTTTCTCTACCTTATCCAAGAAGAGGGCAGGTTTGACTACTTTACACAGATTAACCTGCTGTCTTCCACACACCAGCTTGTCATTTGCCTACAGGAGACACGGGAGGAGAGTGCTCACCTGCTGGGAACAGACCCCTGTGTCAGGTGCTTACACTGTGGCGGATCCGTTTGGCTGACGGTGCATGACGCAGAGGGGTGCGCAGTCCTGGGCCTGCGTCCTCCGCTTGCCTTCCTGAAATCCCTGCACCCTCCCATCCCACTTGCAATGCCTCCATGCAGATGAGTGTGTGAGCCGTGGTGGCACTTGCATATCTGTGAGCAGAGGCGCTCAACGTCCCACAGGCCTCGGTGAAAGTTTTCCCAGGCTCGTTAGAGAAGAGCAGTGATTGACTGGCATTTGCCTAGGTCTGGGGGAAGAAAAAACGTGTAACCTAGAGGCCAGGCCCCGGGGAGAGGAGAGAACTTTCTCTGCATTGATGAAAATGCGGCTGTCTTTAATTAGGAGCCTTGGGAATCCAGCTCAGCTACGCTCTCTGTGCAGTCCCTCCATCACATCAATTAACACGAGTAGAAGGAAACTCAATTCCCAGCGACACCTAAGTGGCCTGGAACTCTTGCGTCTCATTGCACTTCCTTGCCATTGTCAGGACAAACATCGTCTTGTACAAGATCTCTCTGGAGGGGGCCCTCTAATTACTCTTACCCAGTCTCCATGTCTCACTCTAGCTTTCTGTGCTTTGGGTTTTTCCAATAGGAACCAGCCCTATCCTCTAATGTTTGGGTAACTCCAGTCCACTCAGGTTACCCTCCAAGGAGCCAACAAATATCAGTGAAGTGCCTCACACTGAATTCGACTTTGAGAAGGGAGACAAGACAAGGTACTGTCTTCAAGGAAATCAAGGTCTAGGAGGAGAGATATGTAAACAGATCGCTCGTGTGGGCAGTTAGTCCATTCAGGAAGTCCCAAGGAGGGTATATTGACAACGAAAGCCACATAGAGGTGATGCAAGCTAAGTGTAGATGGCTTATGTATAGTGTTCGTGATCAGAATTGAATAAACATGCCAATCCCAGGTGCAAAGGCACAGACAAAAATCACATTCTCTGACAGGTAACAGAATTCTCTTTGAAATGGTAGATAAAGCCAGAGGGGTAACGTGGGATGGATTACATAATACACAACGTATGCATCAACATTTTATATATCAGTCTCAAACATTAATTGGAAGTTGATGGAAATCCACTGATGTTTGATGAGATTTGCAGTTTAGAAAGGTAACCTGGGCCCTTTAGTAGAATGTATTTATATTTGCTGCATAATGAACTACCCAAAACAGTGGTTTAAAACCACCACCATATGGTTTATTGTTGGTTGACAGTTTGGGCTGTGCCTGGCGAGGCTCCCTCGTGTCTGCCATGGGCTTCCAGTTTGGCTTGTCAGCGCCTTCACTCAAGACGTCCTCCTCCTACAATCCAGACAAGGCCTGTATCTGCCCTGCCAGAGCATTCCAGAAGATCAAGAGCTCCCCCGTGCAAGTTTTGGTCAAGTCCCTGTTTGTGCCATCTTTGTCTGCACCCCATTGACCAGGGCAATCACATGGCTGGGCCCAGAGCGGAGGGGGAGGGGGAATGGGAATCAGTCACCTAGAAGGGGTGTGGGTACAGGAAAGGGAAGAAATGGTGGCCATTTCTGGAGTCTCCACAGAGCCAGTGTTCTAATTGCAAGAGTCCAAATGAGAGGGCGCCTGGATGGCTTCGTCGGTTAAGCATCTGCCTTCAGCTCGGGTTCTGGGATGGAGTCCCGAGGCGGGCTCCCTGCTCAGCTGGGGGATCTGCCTCTCTCTCTACCCCTGCCCCCTGCTCGTTCTCTCTCTTTCTCTCACTCTCTTAAATAAAATTTTAAAAAAGTCCAAATGAGAGAACAGCTTTATAGAGATACAACTGACATATAATGAGCCGCACATGCTTGAACAATTTGATAAGTTTTGGCCTTGTGTACAGAACTCAAGGTGGAGGTTCTCGTGCCCTCTGGTGGAAGATGCAGGGATCTGAGCGGGC